GGGACCGTTTCAGAATTTCAATATGGAGATAAGGCAAAGGTACAAACAAAAATAGAAGATGAATCTCTGTGCCAGAGAATGCCATGCTTGAGAACAGAGAATGGTTGAGAACAGCTGCCTTGAACCTCTAGTGTATACTTGGCGTTCTACATATTGTACAAATCAGTCATTAATAAACTGAGGATTATACTTTTTGTTTTTTCGCACACAGATCTGTCTGAGATGAAATAAGTGGGTTTTTAATGGGTTTGTTGGTTTGTTTCCCCTCCCCCAAAAAATAATTTCTGTGAAATGTTCATGGACAGAGGGTGGATTCTAGACTTTAGTGATTAATGCTTGGAAAAGTCATCCTTGTCATGGTATAATCTTCTTTTAGTGGCCAAATAGCAGTCTTTCTGACTTTTTGCATTTTTAATTATCTCCTAAAGCAGTGTGTGTGTGTGTATGTGTGTTTTCAAACTTGGGAACTTTAAGTTGGGTGGGTAGCATGCTCGATGGGGAATTTTGAGAGTTGAAGTATCCCCTTGTTCAAGTTGCCAAGGTTGAAAAACACATACCTAATGGAAGCTATAATACAGGAAGGATTTCAAATCAGGAAGTATTAGCAGCCATGGAGGCTATAAAAGAAGGGAAAGCTATGTAAACAAATGTTGAAAGAAAGAAAAATCAGGTCCAGTTCCAAGGCAGGAATAAAAAAAATGGAGGCTGCTTAGGAAAGAAGGTTCCTGTTTATTGATGAGTAGAACCAGCAATAGCATGCAGTTCTGGGACAGCTGACAAAATGGAGTTGAGAGTAGGTGAGGTTTTATACCTTCTTTGGGGCTTTGTGTTTGAGATGCCTGTTCCTGTGCAAGAACCTGTCCTTTAAAATTCTAATGGCTGTTGCCAGATTCCTATGGGGTCATGTAGGGGCCATGGCTGGCTCTATAGGCAAAAGGGGAAATGCAAATCCTTGGAATTTGTCTGAGCTAATCTAAACTTTTGGTTTGCCTAATTGTGTTGCTTATTTGGAGCCTCTGTTTTCTCTTTGCTTATGAATAGAGTGTCCCCATCTTTTTGAACGGATCTCCTAAAGACTGGCCTCTTCATGTTTTTGCTTGAGGCTGGGGATGCTTTTTCTCCATTTCTCCTTTAGGGGAAATATTCTATCCTGCCTTTTTTTTTTTAGTATTCCCCAAAATATTCTTCTTTATTGGGGAAGAATGTGTTGTATTTTTTCAAAAGATTGTTTTCTCTCCATCACTCAGTCCTTTAGGAAATAATTGAACTATGGGAAGACAAGAAGACTGCAGGGCATGAAGGATTGAATGTCCCATGAAGAAGACATCCCTTGAGTACCCTCTCATTGAGAACGACCCTTTCAAATCTGAGTCTATCACCAACAGGTCCTGCTCCTTTGGTAGCGAAACAGTGTCAAAAGTCATTTCTTTCCCACCGCATAATCAGGAAGAAGATTTGAAAACAGAAATCAAAGCTAGGTTTCAGCCCAACATTCCTCCTATAAAAGAAACCCAGACTTAGTTTATATATTAAAAAACCTATAAAAGAAACCCAGACTTAGTTTCTCTTCTTTAACCACCCTCCTTTTTCTGTTTTTCTCTCCCCAATGGCACCCATCGCTCCTGAGAAATTGCAAAAGATGTCCAATGCAAATGAAAACTGGCCGGGCAGTAAGTCATAAACCAGAAATGGATTATTCCACAAATTCTGTCTTGCCAGCTCATCATTAAGCAGTGATGGCTGCCAATAAGGTTTTGAATAATGGCGAGATTTCTTTCCCCCCCATTATTTTTATCAGATTTCTTGGGGGCCTTTCGAAAGAATAGACCGCTCCTGATGGGGGGGGGAAATATGAACCAGCTGAAACCTGAGACGGACCCTTACCTATCTCATACGTTTCACTTCCTTCCCATCAGAACTATAGGGAATTGACCATTTTCATGTAACAATGCAACAGCCTCATTACCATCTTCTAAATATGCATGATGAAAACGTTGAATAATGGCCATCCAATTGTCACCCAGAGATTGGCCTTTTACCATCCAATGAACTAACATATTCATCCCCCAATGATGGCACACAAAGAGCTAAACGCCTAGAGGGGTTTCATATTTTTTTATTTTGTGTGCATTTGTGTGTGTGTGTGTGTGTGTGTATGTAGATAGATAGATAGATAGATAGATAGATAGATAGATAGATAGATAGATAGATAGATAGATAGATAGATAGATAGATAGATAGATAGAAAGATAGATAGATGAAAAAATACTGAGGAGGAGGGGGATTTCAAAACGCTAAATAATAAAAAAAAATCCGTCATGTTGACTGACATTTTTAAAATCCATGCATCTTATCCGGGGAGAGATATGATTATCTGACTGTCATAGGATATGACATGACAAATCTTCCAACTCTGAATAAGAAAACGAAGGGTGAGCACATTTCAGGCAGCTGAGGGACAATAACGCTGGCAATTGGATTCCTCAAAAAAAAAATATTAAGAATTATTTTATGCATCTTTGATTGAATGAGAAATGATAACTCTCAGTTAATATGCAGCTTATGTAAACAGTTCACGCAAATTGACTCCGATGATCACGAATAGCCAGAAATAAGCCCAATATCCTTGCTTGCTTGCTTGTTTATTATTTTTGTACATCCGTTCTAATTCAAAACAAAGGTTGATTTTTTTTTAAATCGGATTTTATTTATTTAGCCTATGGCATCTAGAGAGGTCATGCAATCACTGATATACAAATCAGATGCGATGCTCAAGAAAGCTTAATATAATATTTATGGTTTATTACTTTTGTTGTGATCCTCAATATCATTGCATTCCCAGCGGTAAGGAAAAGGGAGGGATCCAGAAATACGAAATCTATTTTTTGTCACTAAATTGCACAAGATAGAATTTGGGAGTGATCTGTTTGTTATTTTGAGGAGGCAGAAGTTTTAAGTCCCATTTTTTTCAGTAAAAGCTAAGTTCCCTAACCGATCTATTTTGCATGAAAAGTTAGGATTTTGATTTTTTTTAATGTCTTGTTTGTTTTGTGTTATTTTTGTTTGCTTGTTCTTGTTAAAAAAAATGGAGTTTTAACTTTTAACTTTTTTTTTTTAATAAAACAAAATTAAAGTGATAAAGAAAAGTTGGTTTTGCAATCGGGAAATTCTCGTGTCAAAAGCCAGGCTTTATATGTTTTAAAATCTATATATTTCTGATTGCAGCATTTCATCTGTATGCTGAAAAACCTCCAAATATTAAAAAAAAAACTTTTTACAATTGCCTTATAAATCGAGACATACAATCCCGAGTTGTGTTTGCATTCAAATATAAGAAGGAGAAGACAAAATGTCAAGGAAAAAAATACTTCTATTGAAATCTGAAAACTAGGGAAGAGTGGAAAAGAGGTGTTTTTTTTCTTGATCCTTCAGCTTTCTTCATTTCTGGTGAATTAGCCTTCATCATCATTAACACTATCATCATCATCATCATCATTATTATTATTGATGATTGATCATCGCACAGTCAGCCAGATGTTCAAACTGGATTTGGCATTTTGGTCTACCTATCGAGTCCTTACCCAGGACCTGGGATAGGCAGATGTGGATGTTTGATGGTATTACAGATATCGTCGCAGGATGGAAGCAGTTCCTAGTAAGGCCGCCTTTTGCAATTGACTAATGGCGAATTTGTCAATGCCAATGGTGTTCAAGTGGTGCTCCAGTTGTTTTGGGATTGCACCCAAGGTGCCTATTACTATTGGTACTGCCCTTGCTTGCATCATCATCATCATCATCATCATCATCATCATCATCATCATCATCATCATCATCATCATCATCATCATTATTATTATTATTATTATTATTATTATTATTATTATTATTATTTTCCTCCTTTGGCTTTCTTCTTCCAGCTTTTATTTCACATTGTTTCCTTGTTTGTGAAGGAGGGAGAAACCATCACATTTTTCCTCCTTTCTTGACAATCCAAAGCCAGTGCTTGAAACTCATGTCCAGAGAATTTTGATATGCTCAGAGTCTCTTTTATACATCAGCATGAAGAAAGGGGGGGGAGGGAGGGAAATTTCTCAGCTCCATTTAAGTCTCATGCAAAAAGCTTACAACTGTAATTAAATCATTAAATTCTTGTCTACGCTTCACAGAGCGTAGAGAAATTAACTTCCCACCAACCTCATTTTCTATTTGAACATGAAATAATGATTTTCTGCCAGTCTAATTACAAAGGCAACATCTGATCAAGCCAGCATCCAGAGGGGATTATCACGTGCGCCGAGTATTAGACCTCATTACTAGCTTGAGTGCAAAATTATTACATCTTGTAATTGGATGGTGAGATTTATATACAGATCGGGCCGGTTTCTGTAAGATTATAATTACAAGCTTCGTTGGTTAGCTACTTATCAGAACTTTGCAGGGGGAAAAAAAAACAACAAAACAAACGAGTGGGCTTTTTACTCCTAAAGTAATTGGACATTGGGATGGCACCCCCCTTTTGCTGACATTGTAAGTACAATACGTAATTTCTTTTACCCAAGCAGGTAAGGAGACAACCGAAACACTACCAACTCGTTTTGTCAGACAAAGTAAATAAATTGGACCTATTAGACCGGGACCTTCTGCCTCCCCTTTCTCTCTCTCTCTCTCTCTCAGAGAGAGAGAGAAAGAGAGAGAGAGAGAAAAATAAATGAATGAGCTGTCTCTTCTGCTACACTGGGCCCAATGTATCTATTACTTAAGGGTAACTGGCTGTAAAACCATCCATTTTGTGAGTTGCAAAGGGGCTGGGGTTTTTTTTTTTCCTGCGGGCAAGAAAACCAGGAGAAAAGCATTGATTGCAAGCAGGGGGTTTGGAGACGGGAGGGGGACAAATTCATAGGCCATGCAGACACATAAATACAATCACGCCAGACCCATCAGCCCAAAGATATTTGGTAACTACTTCGTAACATAGAGTAGGTGGGTAGGTAGGTTACGCGATGAATGCATTTCTACGTATGGGTCTTACCTTCTACTCTTCATCTAGGATGGCGCACAAGAGCAGTAAACATGGAAAGTAATTTCTGCACGATACAAAATGGGTTGGTTTATTTGTTAAATTTAGACAGCGGCCCATCCACCCAATGGATTGCCAAGAGTAGGACCCAATGGAATGGATAACATATCATCATCATCATCATCATCATCAAAGCATATATTATGTCATCTATTGTGCTTGATCTTTCTTCACCACCCAATGGATGTTGAAGAAAGATCAAACACAATAGATGATATAATATATGCATAGATGATGATGATGATGATGATGATGATGATAGTATCCATGATTTCCAATCTTAATATATGCATTAAAAAAAAGGAGAGGTAAAAGTTTCCCTGTCTAGTCACGTCTGATTCTAACACATGGTGCTCATTTCCGTTTCTTGGCCAGCATTGTCTGAAGACGTTTTCCGTGGCCCTGTGGCCAGCTTGGCTATATCCCAACGTGCATGGAATGCTGTTACCTTCCCACCAAAGTGGTACCTATTTATCCACTTGCAGTTGCATGCTTTCAAATTGCTAGGTGGACAGGAGCAAGGAACAGGACTCGGGTCTCAAACCTGATCTGTAAGCTTTCCAGCTGACAAGCTCAGCATCTTTAACCACTAATATATGCCCCCCTAATATATGCATTAGGTGGACAAATTTTAAAGAACGCCTGTGACAGAATGATGCTTCAAGCTAAGTGTTACGTTGGAGCATCGTCAGGGATTAAAGAAACGCTCTTCACCAAAACTCTGAATTAGAGCTTTCACTCAGAAGATAAAAGGCGCTTGATGACCCCCCAAGGCTTTCTTTCCAGAAAAGTGAAGATGTTGGCTGAAGGACTTCACCCTGTTTTGATATTTCAGTTTGGTCTATCGAGATAGAGGAAGCCCAACCTCCATAACAAGACACTATTCTGATTTGGATTAATGCTGCATATTCTGTATGTATTGCATTTTGAAAATGTTGGCAAGCATCCCGAAGAGAGTTCGATGGTACAATATTACCAAAAGGAAGCACCAATGAATTAGTCACCTATCTCCAAGGAACCTCGGAATAGTAAATAAAGATTATGGTAATTATGAGAGAGAGAGAGGAAATGGCGGGAACAAAGACAATATGATAGGGGTAGGTTAGACCTTTCTGAGGCCTTCATACAATGACTGTGTATGAATGTACACAGCCCAAAGCCTTCTACTCTTGCAATGTTCAAAGCAAGATCCAAAAATTAAAATTAAACGTTTGGAGTTATATACAAAGAGTGTTAAATTTAGTTGGCCAAATCCAACATTTGTAGGGGGGGAGGGATGTCTAGTTAAAAGAAGGAAGGAAGGAAGGAAGGAAGGAAGGAAGGAAGGAAGGAAGGAAGGAAGGA